AGTGAGAATAGGATTTATATCTCAATCCTTTAGTTTATTGAGCACCCAGGTGCTTCAGGAATTGTTTTAGACCAAGAAAATGGCATACAGGTCACTAGGGGTATAGCTCAGTAGTATAGCACCTGCCTACATGCATGAGACCCTAGGTTCAATCCCCTACACTGAAAAAAAAAAACAACAAGAAAATGACAGACTGGACATGGCCTTTCTGTTCTAGTGTTCCTCATGTTGGGTAGGGACAAGGAGAAGGAGAGGGAGCGGGAGATCACAAAAACAGAGGAAGAAGAAAGACTACTGTGTGGCAGATGAAGTGCTGTCCATAGAGTACAGTGTGGTGGAGAATAGCGGGTGGGGAGGTTTAAGGAGAGCCTCTCTGAGAAGATGACTTCTGAGAGCTGAAGGATTAGAAATTGCCAGCCAGAAACGTTTCAAAAGCTGGGTACACAAAAGGCCAAGACATTGATTTGGAAAAATTTGATGGATCTGGTGAATACAAAGACAGTTTTTGTGGTTGGTTTATAGTGTAAATTAGAGGTAGTAAGTGAAAAAGTTGAAGATAGAAATGAGATTGTATAAAGTTTTAAGGTCCTTTGGAAGGAATTTAAATTTTATTTCTTTTTTATTTTTATTTATTTATTTATTTATTTTTTATGTATTTAGTACAGGGTCTATAGGGTCTCACTACGTAGATGGAACTGGTAATGATTGTCCTGTTTTTGGCCTCCCAAACGCTGGGATTACAGACTTGCCACCACACCCAGTCTCAATCCCGTTCTGGGGTGGGGCAGGCACAACACACCAGGGATCAAACCCTGGCTGCTGTACTGTGCCTGAACAGGCACTTTGATCTGCTGAGCTGTCTGGCCAGCCCTCTAAGTTTTATTTCTAAGTGTAAAAAAATTAATAAAGGATTTCAAATAGAAGGATGTTCCAATGACTGAATACACAAATTCATAGATTAGTGCCTCTCAGAAAGAATTTGGGGAGTTAAAGGCATTGTGGAGTTAAGACCAAAAAGGATTTAGCAGTAGAATAGCTAGGAGGTTGAGTGGCATTGGAGGTAACTGTGGTTTGAGGCTGTTACACTTGGAATGTGCCATTTATAGAAACAGAAAAGTGAGAAGCAGTTGTTTTATTGGGAAGAAGGAATAAATATTTATTTTTAGCTGCTCCAGAACTGTTAGGCAAAAATGTTATCTAGGGATATAGTTAGAAATTAGGTTTAATGCTTAGAAGAGATTATGGGACTAGAAAAAGAGCCAGACAACCATATGTGTAGAGTGAATGGTTTTGGTTTTTGTGTGTGTGCTGGAACTTGCAGCCGAGGTCTTGTGAGTGCTAGGGAAGTGCTCTACACTGAGCTACATCCCCAGCCCAAGTCAGTAGGATTTTAAGGAAAGAGTATATAGTGGGAAAAGAGAGCAGAGGCTAAAGGCAAAAGTTTTGAGAGAATAACTGTTCGTAGCAGAAGGGAGACAGAAGAAGAATAGTTTGAGAGGCTGAAAGGGAGAGTAGTGTCCTCCAGTCACAGGAGAGAGACTTTTAGGAAGGAATGGTGGAAGAAGGAGAAAGACTTGGGTCAAGGAGTAGAGTCTGAATTTGGCAGAAGTCCTTGGTAATCCTCCAGTGAGAAGAGTGAGAGTGAAACCACACTTGAGGGAGTAAGCAGTGATAAAGGTTTTTAGTTCTCACTTTTTTTTTTTTTTTTTTTTTTTTTTTACTGCTCT